CGTAAAATAATCAATATATATTTTGCTTGTAATTACCTTTGAAAGTTTTTTATTTTTTGTGATCTCAAAATTTTTCTAGTTTGGTTAGAAGTTTCGAAGCTAACGCATGCCTAATAGAAAGATAGACAGAAAAAGTGTATCATGAAGAATGGTTGCATGCAGGGTTGCTTCCACTGAGTGAGTGATTTTCGGAGTTTTGAATTCGTTAGATGTTGTAATGGAGATTTGTGTTGTTGGAAGCGGGAGGAGATTGGAGGGCGGGTGTTTAACGCATAGAACCTGTCAATTTCGCTTTCAGAGTGTCGCAGTCAGCGGTTTTATGATTCATGAGCGCTCGCGATTCGTAGAATCGTTGATTGTGACATCAAGTGGATTTGTCGGGTTTTGTGTGTCGGACGCTTGCTTTTTGGCCTCTTCTTGTGTTTAACATGTACAGAGTATCATTATAGCGTCTAATGGTCTTGAGATTCCTGGTTGCGTGAAATATATTTGTGAGAATATCTTTTTGAGATTTTAGTAGTCACGTTTTGTTTGTAGTTTATATTTTATTTCTTTCATGTAATTCACCCATATATTCAATAATAATTTTACGAATGACTATAATTTGGATACCTAACAATTGGACAGAATCACTAGCAAGAATAGGTTGCAGAGTGTTCGCCTTCGAAAATATCGATACGTTTTTTTCAGGGTTCTAGTTTTGGTTTTCATCAGTGGTCCGGCTCTGATTGTGAACGATTTAGGTAGTATTTTTAAGTAACTATTTAGCTTTTAGCACAACTTTGCTACTACGAAGCCACAAAAGACATTAAATCTGAGGCGGATTCTGGTACGGAATTACAGGCTGCTATTCTGAGCAGCTTATCTTCATAAAATTAAAAATTACATTTAGGTATTAGTTAGCAAATGTGGATAGTAAGTTAGATATGTTATGGTATGAACTTTTGCAACGTTTTTTTTTAGTTAATTATTCTTGAACGCAGTTAAAACTAGAAGATGAGGAATAGGGTAAACGCTCCTATAGTTGCGGTACGTTAGAAGCGTTAGGTTCCTATAGTTGTGTATGGAGAGAGAGAGAGAGAGAGAGAGAGAGAGAGAGAGAGAGAGAGAGAGAGAGAGAGAGAGAGAGAGAGAGAGAGAGAGAGAGAGAGAGAGAGAGAGAGAGAGAAAACAATACACACACAGATACACAAGCACATAATGACATTCGACAAGAAAACATCCAGACATTAAAACTGACGTACGAATGAGAAGAAGACATAGACAAAGACAGACCAGCGATTACCGAGCCATAAAGATTTTCAAGAAGATTATGATTAATCAAGATCGTGAATCCGGTGTTTAATTGGTCACCATAGACTAATCCGTCCGGCATCGTAGTCACTTGAAAATTTTTCTCATCAACCCCGATCATTGCAATCCTATGGGAATTAAAAAAATAAGAATGATAAACTAACATCCCTTCTAACGAGCAATCAGAAATCAGAACATCTGAGCATCAAAAGTCCGTTCAAAATTAACGAAGATAATAAAATAAAAAGTGAAAAATTGGTATTTGGTTAGGTGCTCGTACCTACTCAAGAGGAAGAAAGGATTATTTATGGATGTTAATAAATATAATCCAGAGTTACACATATATTCCACTTATTTGAAAAAACTTTATATATAAAAAATCTGTATCATTATATGTAGATAAATCTGTATATGGGGCATCACTGAGACGACGACGAAAACACCCACATCGACCGGAGGAAAGGTTTCCCGCAATATGCAGCATGACTAGGTCGCCGTCATCCGGTTGGCATTGACTTCGACTAGTGTGGCAACCATTTGAAAAACAACCGGCTCTTTTCAGGGCCACAAATTCAAACACGGAAAGAGTTACGTCCACTAGCGGTCCTACGTCAAGCTTCCGTTCGTGCCCTTTGGCACAGACCCTCCCACTTTTTTTCGGAGCGGTGAACTCCCCCTTAACAAGGCTCTTCACCTGAATTCTGCTATGACTTTATTCACGGACCAAGACTTTGGCAATACTTATAATACTGTTATCTGATCTTTTCTGTCAGCTGTAGGAGAATTGAACTTCTCCTTTAGCTGCACAATCATTTCTTCGTATGCCTCTTCTTTGCTAATGTCTGCTGTATCTAGGCCAAATATATTTTTCCGATAACCCATGCTCCTCATGTTCCTCGATTAAATTGGAGATAATTCAACGTTTCCACAAAGCCATTAAACTTCTCAATATTGTATAAGCGTTGCAGATCATCTGCCGATGAAACTGACTCCAATGATGGAACCGATAGTACCGTATCTGAAGGAAAGAAGAAAATCAAACAATAATAAGGAGGTTGCAGTTAAAAGTTGATAGAATAATCAGGATGACTGTTCTTACCTACACAGTTCGAAAAAGGAATGTAAATTTCTGATCAATATGATGCACATAAATGGAGCGTCACATATCATATACGTTTACATTATATATCATGTAAAAATCTAACACATTTCATGCAATGTAGCAAATATTGTATACAAAAGCCCATCCTTGTAAACAACATTGTTTGCAAGTTGCTCGGTTGCGTGAAATAAAATACAAGTCTACGTGAATGAATGTTTACATCACAATTAAAATTCAGAATTTTTATCTGTGTAGCTTATCTACGGATTGATGGCCACTCGTTGATGGACCTATGCTGCTGCCCACTAGTTGACGGTTGGATATTTACTTCATTTCCAACCGATCGGCGTTTCTTCATAACTGGACTTCTATTATGAGATATCTCGCTACGGCATGACTCACAAATGCTCATCGTTTCATCAATTTTGTGGTTATATCACATAGAATGTATTTTTTCTACCATCGTTGACGATATGGCCCGTAACTTATTTTGGCTGCGTCTCAGATTATTTATATTTGCACAACATTTCAATCCTTTGAGCCTTAATTTACTACTTTTTGATTTCTACTTTGGTCCATGATAATAATTTTACTAAAACTTGTCTTCACAACTTTCTTTATCAGATTGACTACTGCTTGTATGAAATCAACCTTAGTTTTATAGTGCTCATAGGTAGAATGAAGTGGTAGGTATATAATGTCAATTTAGGTATCAATAACAGAAGGCCATGTAGAATTATGATGCGATAGGTTGACTTCCCAAATCGTTGTTAATACGAAAGAAGATCTCAATTTAAATTTTATTCATATCTAATACTTTATGGATAATTTTACCTAAGATTGTAAGTTGCTATACACAGAAAAAAAAAGTTGTTGAATATTACATCCAAACTGCTGCAACCAGGTCAATCAAACTGCTGCAACCAGGTTGTGTAATATAACGTTGTACGATGTACATCGATTTTGCGAACAAAATTACATCCATTGATGTCTTATTGTTCTGCTTTTTGCTTTTACATCATTATTTCATACATCAGCTTGAATTACATTGATCGATATTACATTTTTTTTACTGTTTAGAATTATCGGATTTCGCCTTAGTAGTAGACAATTTAATAAATTATATTATTTTCTAGCGGCGCCGGTAGTGTAGTGGTAAGAGTGCTTATCTCTCACCCCAAATTCCCCCCAGGACTGGGTTCGATCCCAGTCGGCGTCGCCGGGATGTTCTGAGGCATAACATCTCTGATCACGCTTTCCTTCGGAAGGGAAGTAAAGCCGTTTTTTTTCCTTTGGTTTGTTTTTTTCGTCGATCTTGTTTTCCGTGCTGAGCACCAATGCTACCGACGTGCCAGGAAGGCAGCTCTCCCACACCTGGACCCTACCTATCGACCCATCAACTCATGAACCGGGGACCAACGGCTTTACTTCCCATCCGAAGGAAGGCGTGATCAGAGATGTTATGCCTCAGAACATCCCGACGGCGCCGACTGGGATTGAACCCAGGCCTGCTGGGGTGAGAGGTAATCACGCTTACCACTACACCACCGGCGCCGTTAGAAGTAAAGCCGTTGATCAGCACGGAAAAAAGATCGAAAGAAAACTAATCAAGGAAAAAAAAATAGTCGTTTTGAGTACTTGACACTGATGTAGTAGACGTAGTAGACGAAATACGCGTATCTGTTATAAGCAATTATAACGGAATTTAAAATTTTGTAAGAAAAACTTTTTTTCCTTAAAAGTGCCCATCTCGCGATGTATGGACGGATGGTAGTAAACATAATCTTGAGGCAAAGTTTCATCCAAATCAAACATGGTCATTTTTTTATCGACTTCAAATTAAATAAAAAATCAGTGTAGGTCTCTAATGGAATTTTTTTTCAGTATTTTTTTTTTTGAAACCTTGGACAATTTCCTAAAAGTCATCCATACAATACATTTTTGTAGGAGTTGTCATTTTTCCATAATATTTTTATGAAAAAAATCGACAGAAAAAGTTTGGCGTGGATAAATTTTGGATAAACTGAGTATGCAAAAGTGTTTTTTTAGTCAAAGTCTACACATCCAGAAAATTTAATTGAAATCTGAGAGGCTGTTGCCAGCTTCGATTCGATTTGGCGCGCAATGCGATCTTTGGTTACAACAGTGAAATACCATACTGTTGAGAGACCCCGAAGTTTTGATCGATGACTTGAATATTTTATAATTTTTTCCTCCAAATGTTCACAAAAATTGGGTATAGAATAAAGGTTATATTAGTTACTACTTTCATTTCAAAATTTAGCCAACCCAATTCTGAGAAAATCAGTTATGATTCTTCAGAGTAAATTTTGAAAATTTTTGTAAATTTGGGTGAAGTTTTAGTTTACAAAATTTGAATATTATATTGAGTAATTTACCTCCGAAGAAAGTTCTATTCAAAAATTACAAATAGAACAAACCATGGACGCAAAATGACAGAGATATGAACATAAAACATTTATATGTTTTTTGAGAGTCACCCTAAACTTATGATCGGGAGTGTATATAATTTACAAACATATATTGTAATTTCTAAATATCAATCCAAATTTACCTTTAAGTAATACTTGTATGTGATTTACAGATGCTCACTACGTTCCCCCAGGTACCGACGTTTGTCGTTTA